CCCCCCCCCCCCCCGCCGCCCACTGGGGGCGGGGGGCCGTTCATTGCCCTAGTTGTTTGGTATGCCAAGCCCGCAAACCGTCTCGTCAAACTTCTCGATGGCCTACTTTGTGCCTTCCGCTGTCTTCCAGGTCCCGGTTTGTTGATGAGCGTCGGCTGCTTTGGCCCTAGCCCGGGCACGCCGCGTGGAAACACGTCTATTCTGCTTGTCACAGCACGTTTCAGCCGCCGTGCTGATATGTGCGGGGCTCGGCTGCAGAAGTTATCGCCGAAGGCACTGTTGACGTCCGGTTTATCGCTTTGTGGGGTTAACCGTTGAGCCTTTTGTTCAATGGCGTCCGTCTTGCTATCCGCAAAGTAACTACTAGTTCTTTCCACCCCGATGGCGATGGTGGTGTGGAGCGTGTCGATCACACGATGGCTCAGATGTTAGGTATGTTCGTCAATGAGAGGCAAGACGATATGGACACTCATCTGCCGCACGTCGAATTTGCCTGCTACAATTCGGGTAGTGCAGCCACTGGACTAGCGCCCCACGAGGTGGACACGAACCGCCTGCCGTATTTGCCGATGACTTGCCCGTGAGCATCCTTATGCACGCGGCCACGAAAGCTTGAATCGTGATCAAGTTGAGTTTTGCGATCTGGCTGCTGATCGCCAACGTCGTTACTACGACTTGGTGCGTGAGCAGCAAAACTTGTCCATTTCACGGATCGAGCTGCGAAATTCAATTCCGCTCTTTCGGATACCCTACCCCAAACACACATATAAAAAGGCCAACGAAATTAGGACAATGCAATTCACGCATCATAAACAAATACCATGCTCGTTTGCATCACAACATAACAAGCGCCAGTCATCGTCAACACAGTGAGTTCTCCATTTCATGGTTTTCAGCAACAAACAAAATAGGAGCAAACCAAAATACTACCAATTATCACGAGGAATATTTCTTGCCAACAGGTATTCACGTACTCGGCCCACAGCAGTGTTTTCACAAAATCAACAAGTTTGACACAGAGCAAAAATTGTCCGAACGAGGTTAAAAACGAAACACGCATAGCTATATTTTAGTACTTGTAGATTACAGAAGCAACCGAGCCATCTCGCAAAGTGCGTTGGACGCATAGCACCTGCCCCACCTATCATGTCAACTCGCCCCAAGAAATAAACCACCTGCCGGGGACTCCGGCCCATCATGGTACGTGCACAGACCCCAGCAGTTGAATCCCGCTACACGTTTGGGCACGTCCTGCGACCACTCCCTCATAGCACCCATGGCAACAACGCACAAGACATGTATTTTTCGGGAGAAAACATCCGAGGCAATAGCTGGTCGAAACAACAGGCGAAGGGTGTTCCACGAAACAACTTCATGTTCAAGCTTAAACATGAACAACGTTAAATTGTGCCGGCCAACACACCGTTTCCTGACAACTCAAGTTCGGCGAACCAATCTCTCATACCTCGTGCGATCAATACGGTTATGATGTTCCTCCAAAACGGAATACCGCAGTGTACACCATCGATCAAATCAACAGGTGTGAATATACAGGAACAGGGCCCAGTCGTGCCCAAACTTCCACCCACAGCCATCAAAAAAAGGGTTCCCGCGGCCCTTTTATGCACCACACGGAGCGGCTGACAGCTCCATTTTTAGGCGAGCAAACGTTGCTCTGGCCTGTTCTTTGAGGTCCCAGCTGTCGTCGTCTAGTTGTCGCCCGGCCGTTTCGACGGGAATCATGCCTGCGAATGTCATCTGCAAGGATAAGTCCGACGGCCAGTCCAGCCAAAACCAGCGAAACAAGTCCGACTGGTGGAGACCACAAGCACGGCTTATGTGCGAACGGTTACGTTGTGGCATCGTGCAGGCAAGCGCACATAACAAATAATCGGGACAAGCGAACGCGTAGACAACGCGCAGAGAGTTACCGCGCCGCGCGGGCACTGCGGGCAGCCGCAGACTGCTGCAGAGCGCCCGCACAGGAAAACAGCTAAAGCCCAAGCCCCGTTTTTCACGAGGACAAGAGACGCCGTACATGACATGACGAGACAGCCCGCACGACAGCTAACTTTGCAAAAAAGAGGGGGCGTGGGGGGCACCCGAACCTGCAGTCCGACCGCAACGGCTATACCGCTGGCCTACACGAACGACTGATCCCAGACCTAACTCTTTCCCCTAGGTCTTACCCTACCACCTACCCGCCCGCACCTTGATGGTGTTTGCACCGCTGCGCGTTTCAGGGAAAACTGAGGGAATGGAAATGGCGGCACAAATCGAAGCCTTTGAAACTTTAACGTTTAGGAGGGAGGACATTTTCAGCTGAACCTTCCCATTTCGGCCCCCAGCCGACCATATTGCCAATACCTCTGTCACCACCTGTGCACCTAACACATACAGAAAACAGGAAGGCCTACGTACAGATCACATTCTAGATCTGTATTCATTTGGCTATGGTGTGTGAAGACGGGAAGATGGGGGGGGTGTACTCATAGTCGTGCATGCCGTAGTCGTTAGACCATTGACCTCGCATCCCTACAAAGCCGGGACGGAGCACGCCGGGTTCTCACCGGACCAGGCT